TTTTTAGTTTAAAATTCGACATGTTAGGACGAGCATAGCGACCCCTTAGGTCCACTCAAACGGTATGGCATGTGTATTTTTGTATGTTTCGTAGTGAAAATAGGCAATGTACAATAAAACAACCGGTAACAAATCTTTTTTTTCACTAAAAAATTTACAATTTTAGCTTGATTTGACGGCCCCTTCGATGCACAGAAACGGTATGGCACCTACCTTCCGATTGGTTTTTTTGACGTAAACTATCACTAGAAACATGCCATCCGGTAATTTATTAGGAAAAAAGCAACAAATTTTTGACAACTTCAATCACAATCTATCAATTTTAAAACCGCGGGAGGTTTGCCATACTTGCGTTTCCTGCATGTTTACCTAATAAATGACGAATTATGACGATTTCAAGCGGTAACAAATCATGACCATTTTAGTGTCATCATCTCCCGGACTATAAATATAGTCAATGATTTACAATGCAATTTATACTGAGTTACCTGTATAGCAATTGTCATTCTGTGAGCACTGTAATAGCGATTTCTGAATTTGTGCAATTCTTCGCACAATTTATTATCATCCATATTATTGCTAAACATCATAGAACTGTCCCGAATATACTTATTGACTGGATCGGTTTGCGCAGAGGACAACGGTTGCTCCTTCTCACTCTCGTCACAATGTACCAATTCATACTCTATATATGAACATGACACATAAAGACTGAAAGTTACATTGATATCATATTATAATTTATATACCATGTATGTTCTCTCGCTCCCGTGTAATGATATCTTTCGTCATCAAAGGTTTAATAAAGCCTTGAGCAAATCGATCAAGAGCAGAAAATAAATGTTTGTCTTGAATAGCGAAGTAAAATGTTGTCTGTTCGCTATCTGTTGAGACGTCAACAAATCCGCCACGTTTTTTGATGAATGTTTCAAAATTTTTTTCCTGTGTGTAAGATGATGTATTTACTAAAATCTCACTCTAAAGAGTGAAAATTGAACCAATCTTGAAATAGTAACTCATTTTCAATGTTCAAGGTCCGATTGCACCAACATTACTTTGACTTTAAGGGAGGTATAAAACTCTCACTTTCTCTCTTTTAAGCCGGAGAGTGGGGGGGATAGAGTGAGAGTTATAAGCCTTGCTTAAAGTCAAAGTAACGTTGGTGAAATCAAACATAATAGCAAATTTCACTCTTTAGAATGCTATTCACTATAAAAATATAGACAATAATACGAATAAATAAAATTTTACTAAAAATTGAGCATCATGTTTTAGTACTTCTGAGTATTTTTCGGATCCCATGAAAACAATATGCTTCAATAAATTTGCTACGCCTTGAATGTCTGGATCGCTGAAACATCCTACTCCCACACATAAGCCACATGCTGCCTATTTGAAAAAAATACGCATATGTGCACACATCACGCATTTCACACTATACACACTGTACAAATTATCAAATGAAGAAATCAACACAATCAATAGAATAATCCATTCATAATTCAGATTAAATGACATATTTCGAAATAAATCCATAAGAACTTTTTAAACAGTAAATAAAACCATTATTTAAATGGATACTTTTGATAAAACTGATAATATATTCTTACATTAGTTCTTGTAAATACAAATACCTTTCATGATTTTATTATCTATCATTAGTATTATAATGTCAATAAGTTTCTAAGGACGGATTAAGAATTAATTTTGTAAAATTTATGTCCTAAAATGCAACTAAATTGTCTCGTTTATACCTTTTTTTCATTTCTCTCGTCGTCTTCATTTCGAAAATCATCTGTTTTTAAATTTATATCTGATATAAGTAGAGCTGTTAAATCATTTACTAATCTGATGACCCTAAATTTAAAAGACAAAACAAACAACAATAAAATAAAGTCAGTAAGAATGTCGGTCATATAAAAAAATCTAATCATTCTTTGTACAAGGCGGATTAACTAATTGTAACGTTTGTCTGAAAAGATTGTCGTCATGATATTTTACAGATCTATTAGAAAATTATTCTTTTTACTAAGCATGTGCCTTCGTGTTACCTATAACTCTTTTTGTCGTTTTCCGATTTGACTGGATTCTCCAGATATTCAACTTGATGCTGATCATCTTCTTCGGTATGCTCCATTTATCCAGGCAATCTTTATATATCAACATGAACAGAAAATCACAGTAAAAAGATCTAATCTGAGAATTTGTAAAAGAATTTTGAAAATTAAAGGTTTTCAATTTTCTGGTAAACTTGGAGCAATTTTAGCTGTACCCGACACTAGTCTTTCTATCTTCGTGGCACTCGCCCTTCAACAAAGATCAAACGTTTAATAATTTGTATATTGTAGCTAGACGCACGTACAAAGAATATATACAATTGTAGATATGCTTACTTATTTGTGTTATTTACGCAGCGGTTTAAGGCAGGTATTCATAATCGATTCTTTTATTTAAAAGTGGCCTAAGTAGTCTGAAAATGTTAATAAACCAATTACAGAGCCTTCACAATAGCATTTAAAGTTACATATAAAGAAGGCATTTTAGAATGTAGCCTTAAGATAGTATGAGACGAAATCGATAAGAGAATGGATTTATGGACTAGTTTAACTTTATAATTGTTTATTTGTTGATAACCCATGCAGGAAAAAGGTTGTACATATGGCCTGCGTTAATAAAGTATAAAAAAAGTTTTTTCAAAAGAGAGAAGAACAAACTGGAATATATGTTTCTTATGGATTTTGGGTCACTGAATCTGAAATAGTAATCCTTTATTCAAATTACATAAGTGCACAATGACATTTAATATGCGCCAGTACTTCCAATTGAATTCACTATTAGATGACCTGCGTGTGTCATAGAAAAGTCTTTCAGCCTTAAAAAAATATTTTAAAAAATCAAAATTATAATATCCGTTTTTAAAGTTAAACTACTTTCTCGATTCATGCAGATCCGCCGACTATTTGTTGCACAACGGTACATCAATTTATTTTATGATACGCACCATAAACAATAATAATTAATATTGGTAAATCAAAATTGTTTTTCCTTACACTTTTTTAACTTGTAAAAATATATTTGAATCATTTCTGTAACCGCATTTTAATGTTATATTTAATTTTGTACTTTTCTCAAACGTTTCAATTTTAATAAATACTTCATCATTTTTTTCAATTTACTTAGAAAGTTGGACATAATGGAGCAAAACGTTTTACGAATTCGGATTCAGCTACTTTATATGTATAGAAACACCTACACAGATTTAAATTCCTCTAAAAACTTTTTTGTGATACTGTAGTAATTTGAGCCGAATTCTTCTAATCTACATACAGCAATATAAAACCGCATGCTCTAATTAATTGTGCTTAGTATGAAATGCACTAAATATAAATATAGTTAATTAATTATTCAAATTCTCTCATCTAATGTGTTCATAAAATTGTTTAAATCTTTAATGATCAAAATATACTTAACAAATAATGTTAAACAACAATAATTTGATGATTCCAATTAATAATATTTTAAATGTAACAAATAAAATTCGTTTTTAGCTTATATTACGTAGAAACAAGTGACAAATGTATACATAATGAGTTTTCACTTCTCTACTAATCCAAATACATCAGTATTAATAAAGTGCAATGTGTTGTTTCCAAAAAATAAGATAGCGTTTCTTTAGGATACTTCAATAGCGGCGACATTCCGCGATTGTTATTATTATGCAAGGATTAATATCTAATATCTATAAATAAAACAGAACTTTACTTTTACAAGGCGATACAAATTATTATTTTATTTTCAATACACTATTTTTGCACAACACAGTTTCCAAAAGACGTTTTGGAGACGTCCACTGGCTAACCGTGATGTGTGTTACTGTTAATTAGTTATTCTTTGCTTTGAGAGGATACATGTAAAGATTTTTCTTGTAGTCCTCTACGTCAACAATGCTATGATCTTCAATTTCCTGCTGATCGTCGTCTATATATTCCAAAGTAAAATGCTCTGTCTTGGGATCCTCAACTATAACAATTAACATTTTTAGTTGTAAGTGTCAGGAATTTTGACCAATTTAAACATAATTCAATAACAAAAATTGGAAAGCAGAAAATGACGTCACAATATCACAACACAAATAAACATTAACCAAAACTCAATTTAAAAAATTATATACTGACTATTTTCTTTTCCGACTGCAATTTTCTGTGAATCATTTCCTATTACATGTATGCTTAATTTTCTAAAATTACTTCCGTTCATTGTGTGCTCTGCAAAACATTCTTTCAGATCATTGATCTCTATGTCCTTCACTACAAGCATTTCCCTCTCGTATCTGTCAAAAACGAATTTCCCCGTTATTATCTCAATCCAGTTCCTATCAACTTCTTCACTAAGAGTATTATCAAAATATTGATTTAATTTTTTTGCAATTAATCTCTTCTTAAAATAATTTAAATTCGTTTCCTGGAAACCTTCCAAAATTCTATTAAACAATTGCAAAAATGTCTCGATCTGCTGATCCATATGTTCGGTTGTGCATTTATTTGCATCATTGCTCACGGTAATGAAATACCCTAAAACTCCGTTAATGTAATCGGACCTGCACGAGACAATTTCAAACTGCAATTGTTGATCTACTAACCAATCATCATCGCGTATCATTTCATCCATTATTTTCTGAAAACAGGTAAAGATGAATATGATAAGCGGATGAAATCAATGGCAATAACCGAATACATCACACAAATATTATTCACTTATATATAGAAATATATGTACACAAAATACAAATAAATATAAACTGAGAATTACAACGCACTCTAAAAATATACAAACGATATTATTTAATTCTTACCATCATTAGATCGAGTAATACCGACAATTTAAATGACGCGATACCAATTTGATAATAATTTGTCACTACAGAAGTTCGATTAGCTTTATTAAAATTTTCTATCTTGCAACGACTTATGCCCAAAGGTATTTGCATGACTATCATCTGCTGCAATGTATTACTAAGCAAGGGACCGCAATTCATTATTTCGAGACATTCCTGTACAGTCTCGATTGCATCGTCCGGTGTTATGTTACCTTGCACGAGACATTGGACGTACAAATGAGCGGTAAAGGATTTCACAAAGCGTCGGAATTCATTAAAATTTACACTAGATAGAGCAGTATGCATGTCGACGTGTGTATAATGAATAAGCTTCAAGATCGATAATTTCACATCACTAAAAGATAGAAGAAGGAAGTTATTAATCAGCAGAAACATAATCTGATATATTTCATGTTAGAATTTTAATTGTTATAGCTAATTTGTTTCTATGAGTCACATAAAAATTTTATGGTTGTGTAATTATGTATAATAAATAACTAGAGTACTCTATAAGAAGAAATGGATCCATAAATGCTTTGCGATAATATCTGTCTTCTAATAGTCGCACTTTGCAAGATTCAAATAAAGACTCCGTAACAAGTGCTGGATAGTCAACCATGCATTTTGTAATAGTTTTCAACAAGAGCTGCAATGAGAAAAATAATATAATTCGAAAATGTATTTATAAGATTAAATAATAAGAATAAGATCTCTTGGTATAAAAAACAAAATTAACATTAAAAAAAGCTAGTGAGAGTAACGACTCTGAAATTTCAATGCAAAGTATATACATTTATATACATGTAGTATATATATATATATTATCATATATATGTATTTTTCATTGTTCAATATATTATATTATATTATATATTCTATTAACACAATGTCTAAAGGTTTGTCTACATTTCGAGTCATTCTTAGGAAACAATTTTTGTCTCATATTAGTTTCACTCGCATTGCCCTGAATCACAGCTCTAATGCCATAATTAATTCCATACAATGATTATAATCATCAAGTAAATAATAAAAAAAAAATATATGTAGAGATCAAAACCGCAGAAAAATAAGATATACAGTATATATCTTCCTTTAATAATATAAAATTCGGTAATCACGTTGGAAGATAAAAAAAAATAAAATTACATAGTCAATTAGAAGTTAGAAATAAAATTCATTTATTATTTATTATTAACAAAAAATATTGTACTGTTACGGTTTCGGCTTCGAGTTTTCCTTTGCCTTTTGTAATTTGGCCCTGAATTGAATCTAATGAATACTGTAAAAAATTAATACCTGCGATATACTTTCTGTATGACTACCAAAATAAAATCTAATATAAAAACAAAAACTTGAGACTGCAGAAGATTTAGAATACAACCGAAAAGTACTGTTAATGAAACACGAAATATGGTTGAAATTTGCGCTTTAATTATCACACTGTTATCCACATTAATATTAAATTGCCAATTATATTTTTGTATTTATAATTTCAACACATGCTTGATTTTATACTTACGGGCAATTTTTCGCTAAACCCGTTCATTTCAATTATAATACCTTTATCACTGGTATAGACATGATATTCAAATCCAGCTATCACAGCTGGATATAATTCTTCGAACAAAAGCAGTTTTAATGAATGGCAGTACATTTCCATAATAACTGCACTAAAATGTCATAAACGTGAATGTTCCTTTCATTAAGGTATAAATACATAAATGTAAAATTAAATAAATATTATAGATCGACAATTACAACACATGCTATAAATTTTTCTTATAATTTTTAATAAAATTTTTTAGAATTTTTACAGAAATTTCAGATTCACTTAGAATCTTTGATTAATTTTAAAACATTTAAACAATTTCACAGTTTCTATATACAGATTGAAACGATTTTCGGAAATGTCGAGAAAGTCTGTCAAGACACACACACACGTGAGAGCATCACGAATTTTTTTAACTCTTCATATGAATTCTGGAATGTTTTAAGATTTCTCTCTAAACCATTTTTTCAGAAATTATAAAATTAAAAATTTTAGAATATTTTTTTTTTTCACAATTTATATTTATAAAAAATTCTAAGAAAATAGGATCGCTCTATCAGTTTAAAAAAATGTCGCAACTTGTTCCAATGTGTCTCAAAAAAATATGAAAAAAGTTTTCATTATGGTAGTTAGACATTAGCATATATAGGATCAGTAAACAATAGCAGCACTATTACGAAGTAGTACCCACTATTACACTTTCCATGCTGTT